CTTTAATGCCCCTTCCCTTCCCACCATCCTAACTCCTAAAATCGGCCCCGCCTACCTTCACCAAAGTTCCTTAAACTTCTTAAAACTTTTTGGGACTGTATTGAATACGTCTATAAATTTTAAAAAGTGTCTAATATGTATACGTTTGTGAGGAGTTGACTTTGGTTTTTATAGGAAAGCTTTGGGAAACGTTCCGTACATGGTGTTCAACAAATTTTACGCAAGTGGTATTTCAAGTTTGTATCGAATTGGACTCTTGCAAGATCAGTTAGGGAGTGACTTCATCGGGTTTCTCTCATCCTTGACCTGTCATCAGCCTTGAATTGAACACGTGTTTTTGAACTAGAGGACCAAATGGGCAAGTTTTGATTCTATGAAAAGTGAAGTAATTTTAATCCAAATGATGACCTATATTTTTTAGGGTACCAATTTTTAATATTATTTGTTTAATTCAATAATATTTTTTCTTTTGGAACACTTGAGAAAAAAAGGGGTGGTATTGCTAACCATTAATTAAAATAGTCACAATGAGCAAAAGCCATACCTGAGATAATGTATAATGGAACGGAATAATTATCAAAAGAAGATGGCTCAACTAAATTGAATTAAAATTTGTTGACTTACAAGAATTCATAAAAGAAAATTTTAGTCCTTGAATGAAGACTTCAAATCAACTAATCTTATATGTTAAACGAGTTTGAATGAGCACAATATAGTGGGTAAATTTCACAAATAATGTAATTTAAAAAAAAGAAATTACAAAAATAACGTAACTCTCACAGTAATAACTTTTTGAATGACCGGTCACCCAGTAATTGATGGTTCGTTTGTTAACATTCCCTTTTATTGTTTATCGTTTCCAATTTGCTTAAGAAATCTAAGTATTTTTCAACTAATTTTATTTCTTGTTTCTCTTTTTTTGGAACATTCTGTATAGAAATTTTGGAAACAACCAAAACTAGTTTTCCCATTTTCAATTTGGTCCAAAGCATAAATAAAAAAATTGTTTTATCATACTTGAATTCTTAGAGGTTGGAACCAAGAAAGAAATGGAAACAAGAAACATGGACGTTACTAAACGAGCCCTAAGATATTTGTTTGATTATAAAATTTAATCTCTTATTCAACATTTACCTAAAATTGACACGTAGCTTGCCAATTTTTAGCCTCTAACAATATCTATCTATTTATTTTTTTATTTAGTTAATATAACCTTATATTTATTGTACTAAAAAAATTTAATAGAAAATAATAAATAAAACACTGAAGTTATGTTTGATAAGCATTTTGATTTTGGTTTTGTTGTTCTTAAAAATTAAGCCTAGAATCTATGCTAAATTTTGAAAACAAAGAAAGTAATTTTCAAAAAAAGGAAAGAAAACTTGTTTTTGTTTTTAAAATTTGCTTAGAATTTAAAACTAATAAAATTGTAAAAAATAAGTATAATTTTAAAAAACTAAAAACTAAAAACAAAATAATTATGATAGGGCAACTAAATTCTCTCCAGATAAAGTGATGCAAGTAGAGAGTGAGAATCTTAAATCAGTTTGAAGTTTGCCGATTTAAATATTCCCTCGTAGATGATACCCAAAAATATATTAAGAGAAATCATAAATTAGAGTAAACAAGAAATTATTTATTTTTGGAAAAAATAAATTGAGAAAGACAATAATGGAAGTTATCTATCTTGTAAAAGCAAATGATATAACATGTCACATGGATGCATAGCCTATCTACATGTGAATATAATATTTGTCAAAGTCTATTACAATTTAAAACTTAGGTTTCAATTTAGAGATTTATGAGTAGTGCTACATGAAAAGATTTTGGGTATAGGTTTGGCTTATTGGTACACTAAGGGTAGGTGTGGTATCTCTCATAAAAAAATACATTTTTTAATAGGAAAAAAGATACATATATAATTCAATTTATTCTCCATTGTCATTTTGTGTGGCAAATTAAATGTAAATTACATAAAACAAAAAATTACACGAAAATTTATGGTGTTATAATAATTAATGGTTAAAAGCAAATGTGAATTTGAGCCCAACTCAATGTCGAATTCGAGGTGGAGGTGATTCCATTGGAGTAGCGACATGCATAGAAAACTCGCCTACTGGACAATGGGATGCTGTGCCCAATATAATAATTCAATGCTTAAATACAAGTCGAATTGGTGTTGAGCTGAGCAGAGATGATATTGGATACCTTAAGTATGAGGTGAGTTTCGCTATTTATAAGGAACAATAACCCTATTGCACTTAATCGTTTTGTACCTGGATTCATGTCACCTAGCTACCGTACATTTAAAGATGCGTCGGTGAGATACTTGGTACATCGTACATTGTATTTGAAGACGTGTACCAAGGGCAGCTGATCAAGATCAAAGGCACTCTAAGATGTCTCCAGCCACCTCATCGTGACCATTGCTGGGCTTACCTCGCCTATGTGATCGAGGTGTGAGTACGTAGCGGGCATTTATTAACCTTAGGATGAAAATGTAAGAGTAGGAAGTGAAGTAAAAAGTGGACATTAAAGGTAACCGAGTGGAGCAAAATTGAATTGAATGCCATTAATTTACCAATCTCAATTATGCGTATAGCTCTTTATTTTAATTTTAAAGTTACCCAATAGACTTGGCCATTTTCGTACCCTTTTGAGCAACATTTTTTTAGTAATATTCTCCATATTTTAAAAATGTGTACGAAGGGTAGTTTTTGCTTTAAATTTTATTTAATATTTATAATTAATTGGCCAAATTTAAATCATTCTCAAATTATCACTATTTCAAACTAGTTTAGAATCCAACATATGAACTAGGGCGTTGGTAGATTAAAGGGATAATAGCAAGGTTATAACTTGTTTTAGACTTGACTTTTTATATATATAATTTTGAAATTTTTTTATTTTTTGGAAGATAAATATTTATATACTTTCTAATTTAGGATAAACTATTCAGACGGGTAGCCTCCATCCTATATGCTTTGCTTTATCGGGTATAAATAAAGATGTTGTGCGGGTGATGATGAAAGAAGAGTATGTGATTGGAATTTTGTAATATTAATGTTTGATTGAGTGTTAAATTAAAAAAAATATATCTTCTTTTGAAATAAATTCTATGCTTAAAACATAATATTCAAAAAGATTAAAAGCTGCATAATTCAAATTTATATACACACACAAATAAACATGTAAATTTAGAACTGAAGTAAAAAGGTAGGTTAAAATATTAGTTTAAGACTTTGATTCATTTTTGTTTTGTACTTTCAAAATGTTTGTTTTAGTTCCCGTATTTTTAAAAAGTAACCATTTTGACTATTTAATTTTATGCATAGAATTTATGTTATAATTTTAAAAATAGGGACCAAAATAGTCACTTTTTTAAGTACCTTGCAAATCGGGGGATTTTAGGGTTATGCTCGAAGCACGTATGTTGCCTCTCTATCGCCCTTCCTTCTTTTAGCAGCTCATCTCGAAATCGTAGAATGTTTAGCGAATCAATCGTTTTGAAGGCTTATCTCTCAATTCTCCCGATTTGCAGTGGATGATCTTTCAGACACTTTTGGTCTAGCCTTTGACCACAAAGTCCACTTTGGGAAGCGGGCTAATCTCAAAAAACTCGTGTTCCTTTGTCGTTGGGGTTCCAAATCTTCTTTGTTAAGATTTGACTATTAAAACAAACCTTTTGAAAGTATATAAAGCACAAAAGTTAAAAGTATAGAAAGTATAATGAATATTTTAAAAATAATATTTTAACCTAAAATTAAATCGATCTAATTTTGTGGCAAAAGTTAGTCCAATGAGAGGAGGCCACATACTCGTATCAGATTTTTTGGTCCATCTCTCTTCTTATTTTCTCTCTCATAGGCAATAAATCGTAAAAGTAGCTTTTCAGATCTATGCTGATGGGTAGTCCAAAGGATGGGACCACACGGATTGATTTTTCTTCTTCTTTTTTTTTTTCCTTTCTAATTAAAAAACATTTTAACATATTATATAAAAATAAAATTATAACTAGCATAATTTAATTTGACTTAGGCAACCTAAATATAATTGAATTGATTAAGACATATAGCATAAGTAAGACGTTTGAACCTACACCTCAATATATCGTTAAATTAAAAGAAAAGAAAAAGATTTGGCCACAAGGATTAAAAGAATGAAATTAGATTTTAAGTGTTGATGCTGAATTTTGGAGGTTTCAAGATCAGGACGAGATGACCAGTCAAGGTGAGCAGAGCCAGCAATGCAAAATAGACTTGCACGCAATAAACAAACACTCCGATGTTTGAGTCAATCTAAAGTCTGAATCTCTAGCGACAAGATGACATACCTTTGAGTGAGAATGATGACATATTTATAGGGGTTATGAGGGATTCTTTTTGTTACGACGGTCGTTAGCTAATTACTAAGGTTGCTACGTAGTTCTAAATGGTTTCCCAGTATTGTTGGATTCTTAGCTTGATGATCACTACGAGCTAAGACGACTTCTACTTGTCGGAAGTTCTAAGTGTAGCACACCGAGCTTTGCAGGTCGGTGCTTATCAGGTTGGTTGTGGACCAGAATTCTTTATCCATGTGGCATGCTGCACTTTACCTCCCGAACATTAATGATGTGTTTTAATTATATAAATCTAATCATTTTATATACGGTAATAAAAAGAAATAATATGAGTGAGGTAGAAATATATTGAAGTTATATAACAACTAGATTTTATTAATTTTCGTTTGGAATATAATTATCTATTTGAAATCATCTTAAAAACATTTTACTATAAATTGGCGCCAAACATTAACATGACTATAAAAATATATGTTATTTCACGTGAGATTAAAATTCAAATCCCCACGTCCCTATATAAATTGGTATTCAATGTTACATTCTTTCAAATTTAGAATTTATTTCTTATTCCATTGACAATTTATAATAAACAAACTGAATTGAATTTGGAGACAATATCCAATCACTTGAACTTGTCAAGTGATTAAATTAACACATGGTCTAATCTCTCTCTTAATCTCAATGAAGTTTCAAGATACTCTCTCTCTCTCTCTCTCGTTAGGTGTAAAAGAAGAACAAAAAGTTTCAAATCATTCAAAATCCTCAGGGCGTGAACACAGCAAACTGCCCACTGCCTGTGTTTTAAAGTTTCAAACTTTCTCGGAACCAAAAAAGATATAAAAGAAAAAGAAAAAGTTTTGCCCTTCTTTAATTTTCTCCCCACCTATAAATACGCCATTTTGCACCCAAAAATCCCCATCTTCTCTCTTTTTTCCATCTTCCCCTGTTCTAGAATCCAGCCCAAATCTTCATTTTCTCTCCCATTTTCCGGGAAAATTTCAAAGCTGGAAAAACCCCTTTTACCTCCATGGATCATAAAATGCAACCCGAATTAAACAACCCAAAATTCGCCTCTGGCGCCGGCGCCGTTGACGTCAGAACTCTGCTCTCCAATCTCCTCCTCTCCCGTCAAACGACCAACACTCTGGATTCCATTTTCTCCCACTGTCTGCCGTCCACCGCCGCCGCCAGCCCTGTTCTGGACCCGGCGTTGGGCTCGTCGGTGTATCTCCGGCAGAGGGATCTGGTTCACAAGTTCTGCGAGGAGAACCAGAACCACCACGGCTGCTCGCCGGCGACTCTGTACCACGACCAAGACAACAACAGAGTACAAGTCTCCGGCGGCGGAGGGGGGTGGTACGGCGTGTCTCCGGTGCCGATGAAGAAGAAGCTGTACAGGGGAGTGAGGCAGAGGCATTGGGGGAAATGGGTGGCGGAGATTCGGCTGCCGCAGAACAGAATGAGGGTGTGGTTGGGGACCTACGACACGGCGGAGGCCGCCGCCTACGCCTACGACCGGGCGGCGTATAAGCTCAGAGGCGAATACGCGCGCCTCAATTTCCCAAATTTGAAGGATTTTGCCAATTTGGGGTTCGCCGATTTCGGACGATTAAATGCCCTCAAGAACTCTGTCGACGCCAAAATTCAAGCGATTTGCCAGAAGATGAAGAGGGAGAGGGCCAGAAAGAGCGCCAAGAAATCCGAATTCCATCTCAAAAACGACGCCGTTTCCTCGCCGGTGCCGCCGGATTTTGGGGACGCCGAAATGGTGTCTTCTTCGGCGGTTTCTGAAGATGGGTTTTGGAGGTCGGAGAATTCGCCGCCGCCCTCTTCGTCCTTCTCGGCGGAGTCTACGTCGGCGGTGGGGGAAGGAGTTTGTGAAGGGTATTCTTCACTGGCAAAGATGCCGTCTTTTGATCCAGAGTTGATCTGGGAAGTTCTTGCAAATTGAATTTCTTTATTCTCAATCCAAGTAATAAAAATATATATACTTAATTTCTCTCTAGTTTGCAAAGAAATTTGTAGCCTTTTCTCTTAAGGGGTATTTTCTTCCCTTTTTATCTCTTTTTTTTTACGAGGACCGGTGAGAATCAAATTCACCACATATAGCGCTATGTTTCTTTTTGGCCATTTATCACTTTTTCTCCATGTTTCAAAATAGAAATTGGAAAATAAATTAAATAATTTTATATCATTAAACTATGAAAGAAAAGTTAAGAATAGATTTTTTCACCATATATCGACTAGTCATGGGTAAGAAACAAAATCTTGAATTTTAATAATGTGTATGACCGTCATTGAAAGTGTTTTTCAATGCACTAACCTTTTTTCTTTCCCCCAAAAGTGTATATAATATCATTACCAATTCTCTTTCCATATCATATAAGTTTCAATTTTTTTCGGGTGGGACGAGGGATTTAAACTTAAGACTTTCGGGTTAAAGATATATGCCAATTACCGTTAATCTATATTCATGTTGGTCATATAAGTTTCAATGTCTTATCTACACTTTTGACTTGTTAATCCTGTTAGTCTATTATCATTTATTGAATCTAAATATTTAGTTATTCATCACCCTATTTTAGACGGTAAGAAAATCTTATTTTAGTTATCGAACTATATTTGTTTTATTTTGATGTTAAAAGTTTTAAAATGTTCTATTTATCACTGTCAGTAATGTTTCATAATTATTCATTTAACATAAAAAGTTTGATGTGTCTTTTATCTATTTTACTTGTGGAATAAATGTCCATATAGACAATAATTTAGAATAAAACATAGCGGGATATGCATTAGATTTTGAAATAGTTTAAAATTTCCCTTAAATAACTATGTCTACGAGATTATATATATATATATTTCTCTTTGGCACTAGAAGATTATAACAGTTGTCAACATAGCTCAGCGTTATTTGACATATATCTCCAATTAAAAGATTGTGAGTTCGATCATCGCACCCACAAGTTGTACTAAAAAAGAAAAGAAGATTAAAATAGTTTGACGAAATCGATTTTAGATCAATTCAATGGAAAAGATGTTATGAGAAGAAAAGTAAGAAAATTAGGTGAAAACGCCATACCCACACCCATATCTATATCTGTAACGTGATTGAAAGAAACAACACACGGAAAAGATAATGTACATATTAGAGTATGTATCTTCTTTTTTCTTTTCTTCTAATTCTTGTTTCTCATGCCTCTATTTGAATTCACACATCAGCCTTATCCTTCCCTTCCAAAGCTTTAATTTTCCAATGACAATGAACAACATTGATAGCTATGTGAATTCAAGGTGGTCCTCATCATATGTTGAGCCACATGTCCACCACGTCCTATGTAACTTATCTGAGCTCCCATACCACCCTATTAATCACATCTCTTTAACTTTATTGTGCATTTATACGGTGGATAGTTGMTATACATATTCGTAATTTGTCTATCTCTAAAGTAACCGACCTGAATCACAGTAACTACGTATTTGGAATTTCATTAAATTTATTTACGAGTTTTCTGATGTTAAATGTTGTAAAGTTAGACGAGTATTTCTGAGGCTCGTTGAAATATACCTAAAATTATTTGTATTATATTTCCTTGAAATGATATTCAGTACTCGAGAATATTGAATCTTTGTTATTTAGCCTACTATTACAAGAAGACTTTCATGTATATATAACGTTATAATTAAGCTTTGTTGTATACTCATTTCTTCATTTATGTTATTTTTAGAGTTTGTGAGTGTACTTTTTGAGCTTCAACGTCTTGTTCACCAGAAACATCATTTCAATTTCATATAAGAGAACATATATTATTAAAAAAACTCTATTTTAAAAGATAAAGTAGGACACGACACCCACTCATATATTTGATATTTAAAATAGTCCCTTACTATTTCTTCCTTTATTGCATGGAAATATAGATAATATTGAAATAAACAAATGGGCAAAGAAAGGTTAAAGTCCTGATTTATAAGGAGGAACTAAAAATATGATCAAGTTTGTGCTTATTTTTAGGTTACAAGAGTGTTAGAAACATGTTTCCTTAGATGCTTCTCATTCTCTAACTCAATAGGGAGACCAATTGTCGGATCTGCACCAGCCTTATTTGGGCCTAGATTCGACAAGGCCCATTTCCATTTTACTCTGCATCTAGGCCCAATTTCTAGTCCACAAATGAACCCAATCATTCACGCAAATCTAATGTTTGATGAAACCATATAGTTTAAATTTATATATAAGAAGCTTATATAATTGCTAGCGTTTTTCATCTCACACATCACTCAACATAAACATGTTTATGTTTAGATAATAAAGGACTCTTCCAAATTTTTAATATTATTACAGATACTTCTTTTTATCCACAACTTAATTAATATAATTTTTTTTAGTATACAATCAGAGATATTCGAATTCATGACTTCTTAATCTAATGTGTAAATTCATGACTTCTTAATCTAATGTGTCAATTACTGTTCATATAACCACACAAATCACATGTTATGCCTCATAACAAGAGACTGTATTATAAGGTAGAAATAATATGAAGATATATGAATACAATAGGCAAATAAAATACATTAGGTGTAGTTATCAATAAGTTATAAGTCACACTCACACATTCGCTCATAACAAGCGACCATATTATATTACAGGGAGGGACTCAAAGTCCTGCATTTCAGCTAGCTAAGGCTAACTTTATTTAAAAAAAAAAAGAAAAAAAAAACCTGAAAATACGCAGCGGTTATTTATATGTTCAGAACTCGAACTGGTTCAGGAACTTGCGGAAATTCGTCAGGAAACCGCTCTTTTCTTTGCGTTCTTGCTCTTCTTCCTTCTCTTCTACTACATCTTCTTTGCGATCATGGTGGAGATGCTTCCGATCTTCCTTCTGATCGCTAATTCGTGGTCCAGCGCGTAGGAACTCGCTCCATCTCGACGGAATCGCCATCTCGCGATCTGATTCCCAATTTGCGCCAGATTTAGGGCTCGATCGCTCCTCGTCTACGAGCATGTCGTTGCCGTACGAGACTCCGCCGATGCGATTCATTGAGTTCCACGGCTTGAACTGGTGGCGCTGGTACTGGTGACATCCGCGGCGGCCTCGGCGGAGGATCAGCGGCACCGATCGCCGCCCGATTTGGCGATTCATTGGACGGAACGTGATCACGACCATCGGATCTGAATTGCTGTCCGTCGCCGAAATTTTAGAAGGATTGGACTCGGCGCGTACCTGATCGAGCTCTGCTATGGATTTTGTTGCTTCGTAATCGGACGATTTCTCGCTCGGGAGGAGGATCGACGCCGCATTCGAATCGGAATCCTCCGCGGTACCGGAGGCGAAATCGTGGACGGAAACTTCATCCTTCGATCGGGCTGTGAGATCGCGAGCACGTGAGGAGGAAAGTGCGAAGAAGAAGAAGAAAAGAAACGTAGCGGTGAGCTTTGCCATGGCTGCAATTGCAAGGAAGAGGGGAGAATGGGAATTGGTATTTATAGAGTTGACGAAGACAAGAGAGAATTTCGGGCAGGTGGGGCAGTTTTGTTTCGTTGACTTGACTCGGATTTAGGATTGAAAGACGGGCAACGGGCAACATTGATTTTTAAACACTCTCTATATAATTTTACTAAAATAAAGTGTTTAAATTACTGACCCAAATTTAGCGTTAAATTTTTTTTAATTCACCCAATTAAACCTTTTAAATTTTTATATTTATTTTTAGATTTGTAGTTAGTTACCGGTGTTTTTGTGGTTGAACCCAGTCAATCGTCTTTTTTTTTTCCAATAAATATTGTCTTTTTGCAAATGATATTGAATTATTTGACAGATTAATGTTAAATTTTTTTGGAATTGATATATTGAAGTAACGTATACGATAATCTTTATAAAATAATGTTGCTCTAATTTTTCTTTAACCATTGAAATAAAATGATAGTGGTTTGTTTCTATCAATATATTAATTTTTCATGATAAAATTCCACCAGTTAAGATTCTCTTCAATTTTTTCCACGGATGCGTCATGGAAGACGTAATTCTTAATAGATTTAATGGGTTAATTAATGAAACTATTGACTTTTGTAGATATTAACTTGCATAAAAAATTCCTGTTAGACAGCTGGCATTTCCAGACATTTCAATAAACTTGTAAGCTAGTATGGTTTAATTTAGGGCTCTCCGCCTTACGTGAAGAGTTCATTTAATTTAAGTCCGTTTTCTTGTTTGATTGAAAAGAAAAAAAAAGAGTGTCCACTTATTAGAAAATAGAGAGGAAAATTTGTATTTACAAGTCGATGCAGGTATGCAACCTAGATTGTCGAAAAAAATGGAAATGCTTTCCTGTTTAGACTGAACATTTATTAACTAACACATGACCTCCCGTTCTGATACCATCTTAAGGATGAATAAACAATCATTCAACCCAAAAGCTTAAATTGATGGGTTGGATAAATTTAATTCATTTATGGATATTTAACCGATAACATATGATAAACACGAAACATAAATCATTAGTGAATGCAGGGTGAACAACTACCTTTGTTCTAATATAATATTGTTTAATTATCTTATCTATCGAAATTTCTATGAAAAATAATAATTCTTTTGAGTCAGAAAAATAATAATATTAATTGTCGTGGTAATAATTCATATGTACAGATTGGGTGTAAAAAAACTACCCAGTTTAATCAACATTTGCCACATTTTAATAATGATAATACATACATATGTACATCGACAATGTAAATATATGAATATACATGAATTGTAAGGTGAATAAAATGGTATACGGTATATATAAATCGCATATCTATTGTGAGGCTGTCTTTTAAAGCGAAAAATATAGTACTTAATTTTGGGTATTGATGATGTGAGATAAATTTGTAGAAAACTAGGAAAGGATATTGTTGACAACTCACGAACTCTTTAAAAGTACAAATTAAGACTCCGTAATATATTTTTAATCCATGATGTTTTCTAACCTACAATGTACAAACTCCTTTTTATAGCA